TGCATATTAGCATATTCTCAAATATGACATTCTAGTCAAAGCCTTGGTAATATAACCAATCTTTCCAATTATGTCCTGTTATAAGGACAGAGTCTTATTGAGTTTATACAAATAACTATATTGCCATGAAAATAAGAATACTCAACAAATTTCCAAATTCTGGAGGGATCAGGTAGGGAGAAAAGGTAAATGTCTCAATTCTATTTACAAAGGTATACTTTACCAAATTTCCTTAAATCATAAATAGCTTGAGAAAAAGGTTTCCTTAAATAATGGAAAACAAAACATTAAGGAACCAGTAGTGTTTCAAAGAAAAGTTGTAAGAAAATTATAATCATCCTATTAGTTCATTTAATCCCATGTTATTAATTCTTGTTCTGCTTGAATCTAGTTTTTCCATTAATTCTGGAAATTCTTACCCAGTTCAGTTTTATGATCTTAAAGTTATTCGAAACTTGTATTCTAGAGTACTTGTCAGAATCCTTTCCATTAATCTCTGAAGATGAAGCACTTTTGCAAAAGCATCAGAGTAAAACAATAACTGTTTGTAAATTATAAAAAGACTTTTTTTTTTTTGGTGAGAAAGCTTCACCCTGAGCTAACATCCACCGCCAATCCTCCTCAGCTTTGTATGTGGGTTGCTGACACAGCATGGCTGACTAGTGGTGTAGGTCCACGCCCGGGATCCAAACCCATGAACCTGGGCTGCCCAAGCCGAGCATGCTGAACTAAACCACCAGGCCATGGGGCCAGCCCCACAAAAAGACTTCAATAAAAATATCCTTCATACCTTTCCTCATTGAAAAAACACATTCTACTTTCCTTACCTACATTTCATATACAGTTGCTTCCTTTCACCCTTATATTTCTAAGTAGTTTTAACTACATATAGTGATTAGGATTCTTAACCTTTAGAATCCCTAATTTCTAGTGAAAACTAAGAACCAAGAAGTGGACTGTTACACTAGCATTCTGTGGATTGGCATATTTATAAATACATTTATTAATTTCCAGAAGTATATGTTCCCTCACAGTAAATTTTTCAATGTGACACAAAACATGTTTACCAATAGATCCAAACATCTTTAGTTCTTCTGTAATAAGAAGCCAAAAGTAGATAAACTGGTGTTCAATAATTAATGTTTCATTATTTTATCTTATTTGGAAATGATCTATATATTCAATAAATATCCAGCACTTAACTTAGTATAACTTTTGCCTAATTTCCAAATAGCCTCCCTCTTTTTTTGTTCTTCTAATAAGAATTACCTCCCTGAAGTTTGCATTTCAAAGAAATGGCTCCCAGTTCCAGAAAACACTGGGTAGAACATTCACATCTCAAAGGCACAGAGAAAGGATATGAGGTACACCCAGAGGGACTTTTAGTCCCTAAATCAAGATGTTTTGCAATATCTGCAAGCTTTTTGAGATGAATAGGGGAGGTTTGGGGATTGGTAAAAAGGATAGACGGGCTTTGAATTGTTTCTAGAGCTGCATTTCTGTTCTTGTTGATTTGTAAGACAAATACAGTTTTTAATTCCTCAACCTGAATGATAGCAAGAGGCTGACCCTCTCATCCAACTACATTATCTTCAATTTGCTTCTTTATATCAGGGAGATTTCCAACTAAGATGGAAATCAAAAGATTCCTGTGTTCTATAAGAACATTTAGAGCTGTGTGTCTTTGTGATTTAGTAAATCTTCCACAGTGGCTTCAGAATGTTTTTCTTTCCCTCTGGGTAAATAGTTTCACTTCAGGTTAGAGGAGAAGGCCTTAAAACAAAATTCCTATCAAGCTCTGAAAATCAGCTTCCAATTTGGCCAACTTCTGACCATAGAGCTCACTAAAAAAATCCTTTCAAATATCTTATTAACAGGTTTTAGGCGGGACAAACAGTAAATATTCCTGGCAGTACTGAACAACCTTTTTTCTTTTTCTTTTAAACCAAAGATATCTCTATCAAATGACTCAGAACCAAAACCAATAGCCTTTTATGGCTTAACCATGGGCGAAGAGGCATCCCCAAAGAAGGTGCAAAAGATACTACCCACCAAGATCCAGAGCCATTCCCAAAGATAACCAAAAGAAAGACAGACTTAGACAATTCCCCTGAGAGCTGGCAATGGTTGGTAGGACACTAGCTGCTAATGGGGTACAACCCACATTTCTGTCCAGCCATATTTTTGGGGCGGCCAACCTGACGGTTGATCTGCCTGTACCTGCAAGAACTGACAACCTGTGTGCCCCAACAGGCAGAAAGCCAGGCCAAGTTCTCAGGACACAAAACAAGACAAATGAGAAAGCAATAGCTGTCACGGGGAGAGAAAGGATTGATAACCAGTGGGTACCCAAATGCAAATTCATGAGCCATAATTCAAAGATCTAATTCTTACAAACATTTTTCTCCCACCAATCTGAATTTGGAAAGGAAGAGCCAACATGAAATTTTACCTTCCTCTCACCTAGGCACCACAGATAGATATCCAGGAGAGCTGACTTTGGTAAAAATTCTCACCCTTTTTGGGCTTCTGCCAGTTTTCCCAGGATCCCATCTGCAGGGTCTGGAGTGAGTGGAGTGTCCCAACAGTTCTCATCCTGGTCACCAGAAACTGTAGAGGAGGAAAAATAATTTTCCCTCTACCCTTTATAGTAAGTACTTGGCTGATACCCCTTTTTCTCTAGGGCAACTCATAAACGGATAAATTTATCTAGGTTAAAAGTTCTCCACCGTGGCCGCTGTAATTCAAGATTATCTTCAGTGAGGTTAATCTACTTGTTCAGCCTTAAAACAAAATTTTATTCACCTGAGACCTCACACTGGCCCAGTCCAGTTTAAGTTGGACCCAGTCCGATTCCAGCTGGTTTCTGGACCCAGTCTGGAAAAGCAAACGCTCAAATAAAGTCTGACAGTTCATAATGCAAAAGCCATGGAGCTAGGATCCAAGGAGGACTTACCCACAACCTTCAGAGGCAGTGAGAAAGCAGCAAGCTCAACGGGCTCAGTGGGCACCTGCACCTGACTGCTTGTTGCTCCTGGGGGTGGTCGGGGGCCTCCCTCCTTCGCTCCCTCTTCTGACACCAGAACTATTAAAAGATAAACTGAGGCATATTAATAATTTTAAGAGTTTCTTTGACCAAAAATTGATTCAAATCGGGCAGCGTCAAACCAGAAGTAGTTAGGTGGGCTCCATCAACAGGGGCTCAGGGAGAGACTTCTGTAGAGAAAAGGCAGAGGCAAAGCAAGGAAATTATTGATAGGCTATATCTTAATGCCTAGCTAGTTTTTCGTGATTGGTTGTCTTGAGGTTTTCGATTTCATAACCTGGAAACATTTACAGGCTTAGATTTTGGTTTGCTCACATAGGCCATCATGGCATTAGAGCCACCTCAGTCTACATGGCCCCCTTGTTTAACTAATTTAACAATAGTTACCAAGAGGATTTTCTACTTGGTTTACTCCAACACTTGCTTTTGAGCCTGTGGTGAAAAATTTCACCTTCTGAGTCAGTGTGGGTGGAGAGGGCCTAGGAGGATGTCAAATCACAGTCTTTCCTCCTCCCCTCAGGAAGTAAAGTTCACTGGCAGGAATGCCTAAATTGGCTCCAACCTCCTGGGCTCTTACAACGCTTGCTTGTTTTCACAGTGCAGCAGAATGAAATGCCTGGAAAAAGAGTAACATTCTAGAAAACGGTATGATTTATTTTTCTTTCTAGATTGCCTCATCTGTGGAGGATTCCTTTGCTGAACACCACATCAAAGGTAAGAAGAAAACAGGATTGTGTGTTGGGGTTGATTTTCTATAACGTTTTGAATGACCGGCATCTCTCCCCGCCTGGCCTGCTCACCAGACGGCCATTCCACAGGCCCTGCCAGCAATTTCTCCTTTCCAGTAAAATACAGCCTGCCTGCCAACCTGACAGTGGGAAATAAAGAATGCTGTACGCCTTCCTCAGAACATTTACATTTTCTTTTTGCTATTTCTCTTCATATATATATATATTTATTTTACTGAACCTTTATGAGAAGGTAGCAGACTATGACTCCTGAATACTTTTTAGCACATACCTCCTAAGAACAAGAACATTCTCCTACAAAACCACAAGACTACCATCACATCCAAGAAATTCAACCTTGTCTACTATACAGTCCATATTCAAACTTCCCCAGTTGACCTCCCAAGTTGTCCTTTACAACTTTATTTCTGGTCTGGGATCCATTCAAGGAACAGTCAATGTACTTTGTTGTCATGTCTATTTAGTCCCTTAGAATATCTTCATTTTAGCAAGTGCTTTGTAAAGGGAATTCCTAAAACCAAGGTTCCCCGGCTCCTCCTGCCTTTTTTATTCCTCTAAAGTCAAGAGCTCACCCAGAGGACCAGAGTGATGCACAGCTTCCCCTAGGATTTGGCCTGCGGACCTGGGAGGACACTGAGGACAGTGCTCGGAGCAGCCACCCCACAATCGGTGAGGTCAGGCTTTGCAGCTAACTCCTTTGCAATTTCCTGCCTGAAATAAACTGAGTGGTCATCTGAAATGCCATGCAAACTGGTGGAAGAGAGATTTCTGCAGTAGCTTTGATGTCCTGCAAATCACAGCCTTTCATTAGCTTTTTCTCATCTCTCCCATGGCTCTGCTTGGATTGTGATTATGGAATAAACAGAGCTAAGGGGACGTTATGGTCAGGCAGACTTTGTATGTAACTAAGGGCATGCTCCAAAAGAAACGTCAAAACCACGTGGACTTGCCAGGTGAAGCCAGGCAGCAGGCCTCCAGGAAAATCCCAAAGATGGTACAAAGCCTCTCTTGCATTTTTGAGGTTGAGATCAGAGAGTCTATAGACAACTTACAAACAAGAGAAAATCATCTATATTTAACAGGGTGGACTAAAAACAACAACAATAACAAAATATAAGTGCTTTATACCACAGAGAAAAAGTTTAAAAGTTTACATCAGTTTCTTGTCAATTGAACCAACTTTGTCTTGGATTTGTCACAGGAATCTTCTGCATTTAAAGACAACGACGCATCATGCTGAAGAGAGGGAGGAAGGCCCAACTTTACACCAAAACCCCAGATGGAGGTTGGGGATGGATGGTTGTGTTTCATTTTTTCCTGGTAAGAATTTACTTTCCCCTTTCCTACTGCCTGAAAAAGGGCTCTCTGGAGAAAGGCTCAGAGCAGCGTAACAATAAGATCACTTATAAAATCCTTGGCATTTGAGCAAGGCCAGGAACTGCCAAAAGCTGCTCAAGTCAGTGTCCCGCACTGAACCCAGGAGAATGATAAAATGTCCCCCTTGAGTGAGAGTAGAAGCATTCCCATCCAGTCTCCTCCTCCTCCTCCCTACCACCCCTTAAACCTGCAGAGTGCTCCAGTCACAATCAGCAGCTCTGCCCTGGCTGCATGACAACTGGGATTTGGGGATAATCATACATTTAACCATCCCAGAAGTAGCACTGGGAAGTGCTAAAAAGTGCTTTAGGGGAGGGTTCCCCAGCTCAGCCCAGCACATACAGAGCACTGCTGGCATCAGCCTCTGTCTCCCATAGAGGACAGGGACATTTCCTCTATTCTGCCTTCTGTCCACTTCCCAACCCATCCCCACCAACCATAACTTATGCAAGAATTAGGCCCACTGTGTACTTCTGATATGTCTGGAAAGGGTGAGAAGGATGTGGATTCTGAAACTAATGCCTGATTTTTCTCCTTCATCCGTAAGCAACTGGATTAGGCACTCTGTTTTTTAATTAACTTCTTTCCCTCATCCTCCCAGAAGCTCTTGGGGTTATGTGAGACAGTGGTGATCTGAGTGATCAGCATGGCCATTCTAGGATATTGGTGAATCCCATCATAGCTATGCCCTAAACAACCCTGCACAGAGTGGCACCAGCTCCACAATTCCTCTAAAGTGTTTCCAACTAAGTTCTGCTAACGTGGAGGTGTACTAACAGACACCCTTCTCCCTTTCCCCGCATCCTCCTTGCCTGCTCAGCCCTACAGTAAGAAGCTCAAGGGGAGGGGAGTGCAGGTCCTGGGGACTACTAACAATCCTGTAGTCCACCACGTGGATAACTAAGAACTCTAAAAACAGACGATGGGAAAACATCACACCTCCTCCGCAGCGACAGAGAAGGGGAAAGTAGGGGCAGAGGTCCTCAGCCAGGATTTAAGTAATGCAAAACTGCTAACCAGAGGACTGTTTATTAAACATTAGCTTCATTACCAAAGAATATGGCATCTCTTTTTTAATTTTCCCCCAGAAATGTTACTAATAAGGAACTAAGGCTGCCCTAAGTCTGAGAACACTTCCTGTGGCTGGGCCACCACCCCAAATCATAGGCTTTCCAGAACTGGCATTGTTGGTGAGGTCCTCGAGTTCTCCCACCTTTCTCCCCAATAACCACCCTAATTTTCCTACATTATCCTCTGAGAATAGAAAGTTATTTGACCAATTTAGTTGCTGGTAAGAACAATTGCCTAATAACCAGATGAATAAAAAAGTCCCATATTTTTGGGTGTGATGCTGCTTATAAAAGCACAAAAAATATCCTGGGCCCTCAAAGTGTTAACAATTAACTCAGGGGCTAATCGCCCACAGTGGTAATGTGGATACTTAGAAGACTATGCTTTTGTGTCTGCATGAGTTACAAGTATACTTTTCTACAATAAGTGAACTACTGAAAAGGGGAAAAATGCAATAACTAAATGTTCTTCGGGAGCTCCCTACTTTAAAAAAAAGGCCTCATTCTAACTTACCATACTTTATAACTATATATTTGTGTGATTGTTTTCTGTATTCAGTCTGTCTCACTGGACTGACTGTTCCATGAGGGCAGGGACCACGTCTGTTTGCTCACTGCTGCATGCTCACTGCTGTAAGCCCAGCCCCTACTACACAGCCTGGAGCATTGTAGGCACTCAATAAATTCTGTCGGTGGATGGAAGGATGAACTGACTGATGGTTATATTTATGAATAATCAAATAAGAAGGAAGGTAATACACAATGAAATTGGAGAGATGAGCAGAGATCTTGTAAGACATGTTAAGAACACTGGTTTTATCTTGAGGCTATGAGGAGCTAATGAAAAAAATTAAGGGCAGTAAAGGGATCAGATTTGCATTTCAGAAAAATAGCTTAGGCTGCAGGGTGGATAATGGATTGGTGGGAGATAGGCCTGGAAGTAGGGAGATCCATTGGAGGGATGTTGCAACAATCCCAGTGAAGAAACAATAAGGCCTTAAATTAAGGCAGTAGAAATGGGGATGGAGAGAAAATACAGATCTGAGCCATATAGAGGAGGCAGACCAACAAAACTTGGAGAGTAATGGGATGTCAGGGAGAGAGGGAGTCAAGGAGTCCTGGGTTGTTGGCTTGGACCACTTAGAGGATGATGTATGCCATTTACTGAGTTGGAGTACACAGAAAGAAGGGGAGAAAATCTTAAGATGACTTGGACGGTTTAATTTTGGCCACTGAGTCTGAAGGGCTTGTGACATAACCAATTGTGTGTTCAGCATAGTCTATGTGCACCTGGAGCACAGGATCTGCATATTGAAATTTGCGAGTAATCAGCATACATGGTGGTCTGAACTCTAGGGCAGGGTGGGTAAAATCGCCCAGGAAAAGTGAAGAGCGACTAGGACAGAGCTCTGAGGAAAATCACTGTTTAGGGGACCGGTGGAGAGCAGCCCACAGAGGAAACTGAGAAGAGAAGTAAGCAGCAATCCAGAAACGTAGTGTCACAGAAGCTAAGGCAGAAATGTCCAGGAGGAGAAAGTGATAAGCAGGTACTGCAGAGAGTTCAGAGATAATAGAAATGACAATGGGCTATTAGTTTAGCAGCCAGGGAGTCTCTGACAACCTTGATAAGGGCTGGTACAGTGGAGTGGTGGGATGAGAGGAAGTGGAGATAACCTAACAGACTATTCTGTCTGTGAAGGTCAGAAAGAGCTAGGGTGATACTAGAAAGGGACCTAGGGTAGAAGGAAGTTGTTTATTATTAAACAATAATTTCTGACAAAGCCTGATGCTCTGTGTTCAAAAGGGGCCACTGTGGCTGGTCCAGCCTCCTCTCCTAAGACAATATTCTAATTAAAACGATGTGGTAGGCCGGCCCAGTGGGGTACTGGTTAAGTTCACGCACTCTGCTTCTACAGCCCAGGGTTCACAGGTTCAAATCCTAGGCACGGACCTATGCACTGCTCATCAAGCCATGTTGTGGCAGCATCCCACATACAAAATAGAGGAAGATTGGCACAGATGTTAGCTCAGGGACCATCTTCCTCAAGCAAAAAGAGGAAGATCGGCAACAGACGTTAGCTCAGCACCAATCTTCCTCACCAAAAAAAGAGCAGAACTAAAAAAATAAAGGAAAAAAAAAGTTCTGGTGAGGGAGCTCTTGAGAAGGGGAGAGGTGAGGGAAGGGATGCTCTTAAAGAAGAAAAAAGGAAATGAGGGAGCTGGAGAATTTCTAGGGGCTTTTATTTTGGGGTGAGCCCATTTATAATGTCTGATGTGGACTCTGGGACGGGACTGAAACTCACCAACCTTGGTCCAGAGCATGGGATGAAGTAGGATAATATAGATTTATCTGTTCTGCTAACAAAGGGAAAATCGGGAAAAAGAATTTTAATATCTTTGAGTCAAAACAGAAACAAAGTTGGAAGGTTACAAGTTAAGGGAGGGAGGCAGTGTAGATGCAAAGGTTGTGTCCTTCGCCTTCTGGATATACGCAGTGGAAGACAAAGACTCAGTTATTAGAAACAAGTCATATCCATTCACTGCTGCTATACCCAGACATCAAGGACAGACCCAAGAAAAAAGTTTACGAATTTGGGGGGGAACAGTAGCTAGCCAAATTCAGGTAACTAAGAATGTAGAGGTCAGCAAGCACAGAACTCATGTCCACAGAAAAAGAGGAAGGATTTTTTACAGACCGATGCCTCACTGTAGTGTTCCTCCGCCTCACCACCTCCAACTTTTGCAACTTCAGAGCATCACTAGTGACTCTCAGTCCCTTACTCCAGACAAGAAATACTACTAGTCTCAAATAAGTGTCTATCAACAGAGATGGAGGGGGAAGGTCTTGATTATTTAGTAGGTAAGGGCTGAAGGAAGGAGGTGCCTAAGAGGAAGCAGGTCTCTGACTCGAGTGAGTGGGTGGATGGTACCAATCAAAAGAGAAATGAAGAGTAGACGTGGGACAAGGGAAAGACGAGTTTAGTTCTGGATGAGTTGAGTTGAGTTAGAAAGATATGCTAGACGGTTACATAAATGAGTCTGAAGCTCTTGGGAAAGCAGAATGGTTACACAAGATAAAATCATAGTTAATAGTCTGAGTATTAAGTGCTAAGTATTAAGTACTTTGCCAGAATTTTCTCAATCTTCATAGTCCTATGAGCTAGGTAACATTTACTTCATCTCTGCTTTACAAAAGAGGAAGCTTAACTTCTGTGAAGTAGTTTGCCCAAGGTCACACCCATAGTAGGAAGTGAAGCCAGGATTCAGGCCAAGGAAGGTGGACTATAGAACAGTCTGCATAACTACTACACCATGAGTACAAGAGTGGTAATTAAAACCTAGAGAGTCAGTGTTGTCTACAGAGCAGGTATAAAGTGAGATGCGTGCAGAGCCACAAGAGGAAAATATGTACCAGGTGGAGAGAGAAAGTAGAGCCAGTGAAAGAGAACCCAGGGTTCTGTAGTTCGTGAGAAGCAATGCATGGCCAGGTTGAAAGCAGAGAAAGTAGCCTTAAAAAACCAAGGACACCGAAACAAGGCAAGGAAAAGCTAGGAAGCCCCTGGAGACAGAGCACATGTGGCTCCTGGGCTTTGAGAGTGACTGCAGACCCTGCCTGGGTTTCCCTTCAAGCTCCCCTCATGATTCTGCACAAGATAAAGTTTGGCTGGTAAGCAAAAAGAGAACGGAGAAGGAATGGCTCTTCACTGCCCCCAGGCTAATCAGGATTCCAAGAAACAAATGTTAGCACTCCACAGAAAGAAAACCTGACCTCAAAAGCAGTCTTCCTAGTGGAGGGGAGGAAGGTGGTGTGGACAAGGATTACGGAGGACAAAGGAAAAAGATGGGGCACATGATCCAACCGTAAGGTGACCATGCATCCTGGTTTATCCTTGCTGTCCTGCCATAAATGACTAGTGCTCCCTTTCACTCTCAAATGTTTGTTTGGACGATAAACTACATGGTCACCATATTTATATATCAAGTGAGGGAGGGTACTCAGCTCAAGAGTAGAGTTAAAGCAAAGCCAACATAAGAACTGATAGGAACAATTCTTCATCTTTTAGACCAATGTGCTTCTCACAAAGGCAACAGGGGGACCAGCCTGGTGGTGTAGTGGTTAAGTTCAGCTCCCTCTGCTTCAGCGTCCCAGGTTTGGGAGTTCAGATTCTGGGTGTGGGCCCTCACCACTCATCAAGCCATGCTGTGGCAGCATCCCATATACAAAATAGAGGAAGATGGGCACAGATGCTAGCTCAGGGCCACTCTTCTTTTTTTTTT